GAATTTTATGTTTAGCGATTTTTTTTGAAAAAGGGTTGCCACCTGTTTCAAATTTTAAGTTTAATAATAATAAAAATACGTACATACGTTTGTGTATGTATATGTATTTGTAAAAAACGGCAGAAAAATTTTAATATTTTTTCAAAGTGTGGCCATCTGTTTTAAATATGATTAAAAAAATTGTCTAAAAGAAATGTTCAATTACAAAATTGGTAAAAAATCAAGATTTTGTCGGTTTGAGTGTACACTTTGAGAGTGAGAGTCGCTGATAAAATTTGTATTGGAGTATTTTACTTGTTTTATGCTGAATTGTCTACCGATTGCCAATACAGAAATTTACAAATTTTGTGAATTTTTGAATTATAAATGCCACATTTTATCTATTGTTTTTTTTAGAGAAAGTATGAAAATGTTAAAAACACTTATGGTTACTCTTGAACCAACCACTACCCGAAAGTATCATTCCATAACCTTTGTTTCCTTCCACTTCTCATTTGGTTTTCGCTCCATTTTAATTACACTGATTTTCTGCGAAAAATAAAGTTGCATTTACAAAAAAAAAAAAAAGGAAAAATAAATAAAAATCGAAGTGGAAAATTGCGAGCGACAGGACACGAATTTGAAATACTTAAATTATACTGAGAAATAAATGGAAAAGGGGCCACCTTTTTCAATGACTTTGCGCAGCGCAGACTTTCTTCAAATAGTTAGCCTTCGCTTGCCGAGCAACATAATAAAACCGAGCGAAAATAAGTAAAACTTAAAAGCATACGAATAAGGTGGGGTGAAGAAAATAAAGCTGAAGCGTTGCTAAAAATATATAAAAATAGAGTCGGCGCATAAAAAGCGAGATGATGATGATAAAAAATTCTGAGATCTGAGAAAATAACAAACGAAAATGCGAAAATAAAAAAAGAAATAAATTATTTCTTGTTGCAGGAAATGAGGACGAATTTTTATTAACGCCACAACACAGCAGGGTGCCGCGCCCCGCCCTGCCAAGCTAGCGTACCGCTGCTGCACATTCCCAGACACAGTGCTTTTGATTTTTTCCATTATCCTTTACCGTTATACTGCGCTTTCTGCATGGCACTTGCTATCTTTGGCCCATATAATGTACGGCGCTACCTTTTTTTGGCCGACCCCTTGTCCTTACGCTTTGTTGGCATGCATGTGTGTGCGTGCATATTAAAGCATAAATAAAAATGCAGAAAATTTCGCGCGAATTTAATTTGTAAATTTCTTTTGGTGAGGAAAATTGGCAGAAGCGAAAAGTGGTGGGTTCTTGATTTAAAGTGAAGCCCGCTTGTCGCATCGCAAGTACGCACAAATGTTGGTTTGTATTTTGGTAAATATGTATGTGTAAGAGTAAATATGTACATATATTTATGTATGTATATGCATTTTTTTTATTCACTTTTTGTTACAATGAAAATTTTGATAGCTGTCTTTTTCATTTTACATATATGTACATGTATGTATATATATGGATGCATATATACACATATGTATGTACCCAGCGTATGCATGTGCGTACGCATCCTTATTCATTAACGTCATAAAAATGCGAAAGACGAGTGAATAATGAAAAACAAAGAAACGCGAAAATCCTTAACAACAATAACAACAAAAAAAAAATTAACATAAAAACAACGTTTTGCATATGTATGTACATGCATACATATGTGTGTGTGAGAAACAAAAAAATTAATAAAAAATGCAAATTAAAAAATTCGCTTTTACAAACATACATACATGTACTTACATAAGTGTATATTGAAGAGTGTACTGCTGTATATACATATACATACATGTATATGTATTCCTATGTGTGTGTGTTGCAAGCGATTACCCTGTTGGCGTTCCGTGAACGGACCAAAAGTTCATTTTGCAGTCATAAAATTCTGTTGAAAACAAAAACAATAAAAAAAGACATGGCCGCGGCCATTTTTATTTTTAATTAATTTTTTCTCACACGGCAACCGTAAATTGCACTTTTCACATTTACGCTTTTCGCTACTTGCACAGTTGCTGGCCGACTGCATTCCGCTTTTTGCGATCCTTTTATTTGTTGTTGATATTATTTATCTTTCTGTGAAATTTTATATTAAACACAAAGTATGGATGCAAATTTCATTTTATTTTTTTTTCTCGCAACTTTTTTTTTTTTAACATTATTTTTAATTTCCATTCACTTGAAATCAGCCAAAAGAAACTTGCTTAAGGCGGAAGCGTTCGCACAGAAAAAAAGCGAAGTATTTATTTTGATTAAATTCAGCATTGCTGGTCGAGTTAACTGATATAAAATTTATATTTAATTAAAACGCAGCAGTTCTTTTTCCGGTCGCTTGCTCATAACTTTAAGGATTAAAGCTTTAAAGCTGCGGCGCAAATTGTCGATGATTGACATGTCGAAAAGGTATAAATAATTTCATAAATTGCTCTCTGTGGCCTGACGTTGTTCTAATGGAAAATTATTCCTCTCTTATTCGCCAAAAACAACTTGAGAGTTTGACAGTGACGATTCACAGGTGGAACCGCGGTCCATGAGGTTGTTTTTGCGTTAACTCGTGTGACACTCATACATCGAGTTTCTTTTTATAACCAGTCTTATTTAAATCGTTCCAAACGATTTTTATGCAATGTGCAAACAGTGTTTACATAACTACATCGAAATTTTCCATTTGTTTATCGATGTTTTCGATCAGACAGAGTCCTATGCAGCATAAATATATCAATATGGTTTTCCGCCGGACTATTGGAAAATCAGATTACAACGTGAGTTTTAAGCACCAGATGGCAGGAAATTCATAGGGCATTTCTTATGGTGACAATGATACCGGTGGACCGCCGTGTTTATTTATAAAATTCTGAATCAACGTTAGGCACCTTACGAACCGATTATCTGTTGGCAATCTGTTTCGCAATACAATAATTCAAATCCCTGTTCAATGTTCAATGACTCGCTAAATTTTGTACAATAGCAGCTTCTTTGTGTAGCCATAATTTTAAGGTTACTAGAAAAATGCCGACCCCTTTGATAGCATCACTATACTATAGTTACAGATATCGTTTAATTTGAGGTATATGTATGTACAAGTTTGTTAATTGGCACCCACAGCCATGAACTCCTTTACATTCCGATTTGTGGGTTACATCCAAGTATGGTTATAAACCAGTTATGACTAACGAGTTGGGAAAAGTAAGGCTGGAAAAAATTGTACAGAAATGGATCTTTAGTCCGGCAATGTGCCCGAAATTCGAACCAATAATGCCAAATTTTAATCATTTCAATAATTTTTTCAATATATTTTTTGAAATAAAAGTTGTATGCATCTAAAAAAAATTACTTTTTATAAGCGCATCAAATGATACTTACTTACGAGTAGTTTTTTCTTTTCTTCAAATATATATGGTATATGGCATTATACATATACATATGTACAAGTATATCAAACTTTTTTTCTAAAAATTAAATTTCTGCCAACAAATCTTATTACAAATAAAAGAGTGCATTAAAATAAAATCGAATTTATTTGTAAAATGGCATAATTTATAATGCAATGAACCAGCTATGTCTGTAAGAACATATATAGATAATATAATATAATATATTACTTTATTTATACATATACATACATACATATGTAGCATGTCCTAATGTGCATATAAAAAGTGCTCTTTTAGTAGCGTAAACCTTGCTTCGGACGCGCGCGTTGTTCGTCGCAAATGCGTCAATCCCTATTAGCGTTAAGTTCCCTGCTGATGTCGTTCGATATTTTATAACCTCACTTTTTACGTACATACATTACGGTCAACCCTTCGTCGAGTATGTACATAACTGTAATATTATATATAAGTTATTTTGTGTGTGTGTGTATATATATTTGAGATTACTTTTTTTTTACAATAGCTGCACAAAATTCAGTAGTGTCTTTTAGCGCACGCCTTTTTGGGGTGTTGTAAGTGCCTCGATTTACTTGCACTCTTTATCTTATTTTTATATTTTCATTTTATTACATTTTGTCTCTCGAATTTTACGGTATTTTCACATATTTTTTTTTGGTTGCCTATAAACTATCCCCGTTTTTCAGCTTTTTTCTTTGCCAACGAAAATTTGGTTATGTTCAATTTTTCATTTTTATTTTCTCCATTTTTTGCAAACTCAAATTTTTTCGAGCTCATTTAAATTTCTTGCATATCAAAAATGTGGGGGGTGCAAGGAATAATTCTCTGGCGTTGAGCAAAACTGCTAAAATTTTATGAGATGTATGGTATGTATGTATGTATGTATGTTAGCGTGAGTGGTGTTTGGTAACGAACGGTTGGCGGGGCGCAGTAGGACACATGGTGGACAGTTTGCGCATTCTTTTCGCTACTAAAGAATTTGTAAGGGATAGTGAAAAATATCGTCGAGTTTTTTTTCGATTGAATTGAATTTTTCATAATCTTAGCTTGACCAAACCGAGTCCTTTCCTTTACATTGCCGAATTTAATTTAATTTAGTTGGTTTTTTGTTGTCATGAAAAAGGGCAATGTGTCAGCGTTGCTATTTATAGCGAAATGTATACATGCGTATGTGTAAAGGTATGTTAGTGTGTAAACATTTTCTACCGAGCATGTATTGTTTTTATTTCTTGACTATCTCGAATATCACCTTTTTACAATATTTTTGTTTTATTTTTGCCTTCGCCATAAACCGTCGGTTCGTGTAGTACAACACGTCCCTTTATTGGGAGCATAATTTTTCACGTCAAAGTTGATTAGCCTCAACCAAAGAAATTCGGTTCTGACTTTTATTACTGAAGCCAAAGACTATGGTTTGAATTTGATTTCGTTCGGTCGCGAAAATATGTGTTTTTTTTTTGATATTTAGAACGCATACTTTTAAGTTTTTTAAGAATTTCGAACGTAGTACCGTTAGTACTTATAATAATATAACCTGTCAGCAGAACAAAAACATTTATGCTATAACTGCATGCTTTTCTCTACTCTTTCAGCCAACATGTTGCCACAGCAATATTGCCTGCGATGGAAATACCATCATAGTAATCTACAGACAATGTTCTCACAACTGCTAGATCGCGGCTGCTTCTGCGATGTGACGCTGGCCTGTGAGGGTCAACTGATACGCGCTCATCGCGTGGTGCTCTGCGCTTGCAGCAGCTTCTTCGACACAGTGCTCACCAATTACGCCAGTGAACGCGATCCGATTATCATAATGAAGGACGTCACATTCGCCGATGTCAAGTGTCTAATTGAATTTATGTATAAAGGCGAAATCAATGTGGAACACGTAAGTGCAAGTATTTTTAATTTTAATCGAGTCGTTTTTGTAAAAAACTTTTCCTTTTGTGCAGGCAAATTTGGCCTCACTCTTAAAGACTGCAGATGATCTCAAAATCAAAGGTTTGGCGGAAGTTTCGTGGCGCGATGACGAGGATGGTCCGCCGTTGCCCAACGCTGCTACGGAGTTTCACTCACCTACGCCTACACAGGGGCATGATATGTATAATACGCGACCAGAGCAACAACGTGTTGGCTCACCCAGTTTTATGCCACCGCAGCGACTGCCGCGTGAACGCAAGCTCTCCTCACCAAAGGACACTGCGCATGCGCAACAAGGCTTACCAACCTTAACGCCATTACCGCCAACGAGCAGCGCTTCAATGGTAGCCGTTGCTGCCGCTGCTGCTGCTGCAGCTGCTGTGGCCTCTGCCGCATCGCCAGTGGAAAGTTATTTGGGGCCGAAACGCAAGCGCGGACGTCCACCACTAGACGACGCCTATGACGTTTTCAATGTGTGAGTTAATTTTGGAAGCTTTTCTTAAACTTCTTTAGTTTATTTACACATTACACATCTTTTGCAGCCGAAAACTCGCACAGTATGGCAGCCATTTGGATGCGCACCATCATCATCAAGCATACTTGGAGGCGCAGCGCCAGTATAACGACGAGCAGCGTCGCCTTGCTGTCATCTCACCGATACCGGCGCCCTCGTCCACTTCTGTCGCAGCAGCAGCCGCTTATCATCAACACATCCAGCAACAACAACATAACAAGCGCATGCGTCAATTGCATCGCCAACAGCAACAACAACAGCAACTGCACCAACATCAGCTACATGTCGACGCGGATGAGTTGGAACACGAAGATGCACAAGCCGACCCCGAATGGATTACCAGCAATTTGGAGGTGAATGTGGGTGGTGGGGGAGACAATGAGCCAGCCATTGAGTGTGACGCAGACATCGCCGCAATGAAGGAACAAAAGATGGAAATCGCAGACGATAAAGAAGCTCATCGCACGGCAAAAATCGAGGCGCGAAAGCGCAAGGAACGTCATTCAGAGGAACGTGAAAAGTTGAATGCGCGCGAACGCTCGCTAACGCGTAAACGCTCAAGCGCCGAGGAACGCGAAGACAACAACTCAATCAATGATGAACGCGAGCGGGAAGAGCGTGAGTCGCGTGAGCATTCGGTACAAAATGAGTTATCTGATCAAACACAGGAACGTAAGGGCGGCAATGTGGATGGGGAGGAGGAAGAAAAGGTCAAGGCGGCTGCTTCCGTGCCACAACCGGTGGAAGAAATGGAAAACGTGCGACAATCTAAGGACAAGCTCAGCAATGCTTCAGCCAATACGACAACTACCGCCACAAGCGGCGCACATAAGCGCGGAAATATAACCAGTGAACAAAGCGCAACACTACCGTTGCCGCCGCCTCCGTCGCTGCACCATCCGGCACATGCCTATGGCAAATATGCGCCTGAGGGTTATTTGTTGAACGAACATGGCATATTGATGACACACGATTTTGTGCATGCGCCGACGGCGCCCATACCATCAACAGGTGCAACGGCGAGTTCTTCAAGCGGTGCAGTAGTGGGAGTGGCCGGCGCTGCTAATGGCAACGATCAGGATTATGTGGACATAAAAATGGAAGAGTATGATGGCACCGATTTGCGTTTGACCACCGAGGAGATTTCTGAGTGGCAAGATGTGATCAAAATGGACGATTATTTGGCTAAAGGACGTCGACCGCAATTCTGGGAGGAGCCCTTCACAAGACGAGTAAGTTCAAGCACAATTTGGTGTGTTTTTTTGAGGGTAATCGATTTTGAAATAAAATCTTTATAGGTATTGGATGCTATAAAGAACAAAAGATTGGAGATGAAGAAAGCTGCGCGCATACTGGGCGTTTCCTATGGCACCTTATATGGACGATATCGTGAGGTGTACGGTTGTTTGAAGCACCCTTATAGGTTAGTATGACGTTTGTTTGTTAAAAATCTGGAATATATTTCTGGAGTGTTTAATATATTTCTGCTTGTTTCTATTTAGCAGCTCCACTTTTCGACCCACACAATCAAATCAGTTAGCAGTACAACCGCGTTTTGACATGGTTTGGCCGTCGCCTAAGCGTGACAGTGGTCTAATGCCCGGTCAATTGGGTAGGTCGGTTTAGCACCATATTTATATGCTTTTATTCTTTACTACTTTGTATTATTACTTTTAGAAATCGGTAAAATACGTCCAAAAGATTTGAGTGAGCTATGGACCCGACCACAAATTTGAGAAAAAAAATCACAACAAAGTATATCAAAATGTAAATAAATTTGCTGTTTATCATAATAAGCCCAAAAGTACATCCCTATGATTAAATGATTATTAAAAAGTGTTACTAGTACTATTTTTACTTTTTTTTTATAAGTTTTGTATTACTTTCAATTTTATACGTTAAAATGTAAAGCAAAGTATTTAGATATATACAAATGTATGATTTAAGGAAAATATCATAAATTTGTATTATGGAATGGAAAAAGACATTAAAAAAGACAATTTAAAAGCTATTAGTTTAGTGTAAAAATAGCTGCAGTTATTTGCAATAGGCACATCAATTACTGATACATGTATGTGCCACATATGAGTGCACTAAAAGTGTTAAAGTATATATATATAGTTTTATCAACTATTTGAGTATTAAAAGAATATCCGCTCTTTAGCAAATCCTTAAATCAATTGCCAATGCAATTAGTAAAACTTGAAGATTTTTTTTTTGTTTTCTATATTTTTGTTCGTAGTTAAATAAGTCTATAAAAACGTATTTTTAAGTTATACACATAAAAAATATTCTTTATTATACGTTTTCTGTAAATATTATAATACAATTTACATTTCATAATAGTGTAAGCTTCCAGAAGTGCATACAATAGATGGATAAGTATGTGTGTTAGTATGCTAATATGATTACTTAATAAAAAAATATATTTAATTTCTATCTAATATTACTATAATGCACATATTATTTATAATTAAATTGAAACAAAAAAAGGTAAGAACACAATTTTCAGGCGTTGGGTTAGGCAAGGAGAATACGTAGGTAATTGCTACCACTAGTAGAAAGAATATACTAAATTATCAGTACTAACTAGACAAAATATTATACATATATCTGGATGTACGTAAGTATGTAACTAGACAGTTCTTATTAGTGGAAGGTTAACTAATACATATATGGCTCGCCTACCATCGCAAATGATGCTAACCTCAAAATTTTTAAAATACCATTTTAGCCACAATTTGAAAAGGTTTCGCATACACAAATTGTTAAAATATTAAATGTTAAGTTAATGAAAAATTTTTACTTACACGTTCTTATTTCCGGATGCCTTAATATATAAGTTTGGACTTCAGTCATTTGGAGAGAGTGACACAGTTTTTCACTTTCAATTTCCAGGAATTTCACATTTTAAACACAGTATATATTAATTTTTCCAAAGAATTATATAAATCTAGTTAAATTTCATAAGCAAACATTAACAATTAATTGCTTTAAATTGACTTTTATAAAGTTAATCGCTCTACTCAACTTATTCCGTTTCCGTCGGTTGTTGAAAGAAAAATTAATCTCCACAACACCCTGTGTTTATTTATTTCACATTCCATTTCCTTGCACATTCACAATTGTGTGCAATGATATGTTCATTAACCCACTTGTCCAAATAAAATACTATGCATGGCATAATTATTTGTTAAATTTGTTAAAAATATATTTGTTACCATTTACCTGTTATTAGAATGTCAAAAGAATTAAATATTGCAGATAAAACATATTGCTACGATTGCAATGTGAAAGGTGAAGCTATAGAATACATGTTGTATGATTTCAATGAAACCTGGATAGCAACAAAGACGAAGGAAGAGGTGCGGCAGACTTTACAGGTTGTATTAAATTTATTAATTTATTTGTAATTTATTTGTCTAATTAATAATTTTTTTTATTGTTCCTATAGCTACTAAATAAACGCATAAAATATGATGTGGCAATTGCATTTGATACCTTACAAAATGCGCTGCCGGAATCAGGCACTTGGATTGGTAATGACAACCAGCCGGGGGCGAGCAATGCACGTGAGCGGGTTTTAAAACTTAAGTATCGTGTTAAAGAATGTCCATTCCACTTTGAGTGGCGCTTAAAACAACACAACAGCCCGGTTACCATCCAATTACCCATCAACCAAGTTGCAAGTTTAGTGGATGTGTTACCGGCTAAAATCGATGAGCTATTGGAGATATTGCAACGCAAAGAAGATGAAATTAAACAGTACAGAAGAGAATATGGAAATTTGCGTAGATGTATGTAGGTCAATTTAACTTTGTTAATCCAACAGTTTAATAATATCCTAAATTTTGATTTAAAGCAACACTTGCAACGAATGCCTTTGATGTGGAGACGTTTCGGGAACAATATGCACTCACTGACGTGAATGTAAAGTCTTTGCAAAGAGTTGTAGCACGTTGGCGGTCAGAGCATGGAGAGCCGGAGTCCGCACACGAAGTAGAAACTTTATACAAGAACAAAAGTAGTCCAACAAATGTTATAAAAAAAGAGGAACCGGGAACAAGTGCCTCAAGTGCAAGCAGAAGTGTACAAGAAAGCCCTAGAAGCAGGTATATAACTAAGAAATATATAAAAGATATGTGTTAATTTTTTTAAACTAATTTAGGAAACGTAAAGCTTTGCATAGTTATAAAACGCAAATGATGCGTTCACTGCAATCAGGCAAAAAGGACTTGCAATACGAAAGTCAAAGTCAATCGCTTAGTGAGACGGAGCAACAAGACATAAGAGAGGTGAAAAAAGTGCGGAAAAATAACGAAGATGTGGACAATGAAATTGTTAACGAAGTGACAGCAGTGAAGAGTAACGCGAAGAGGGTAAACACACCAAGTAAACTGAAAGCGGCGGAAAAGCTTTCAAAAATTCCGACAAAAACACTTGTTGAAGACAACAGCAGTGCGCCTGCGAAGGAGGTAGAAAGGTCTTATAAACGCATGCAATTTTTTTAATTCAACAAAAAATTTACTTGGAACTGTTTTTCATTTACAGTAAAGTCAAAATAGTTTCACAACGCATAGAAAAGCGTCCTAACACACGTCAAAGACGTCGCGAGTGCGAAATGAGTGATTTTAATTCAAATGGGTTGGAACTTGCGGACACCACTTCCCAAAGTGTGTCTCCTGCGCTGAATGAGAGTGCTGCGCTGGCGAAACAGCCCACTACTACAAAAACAATAAGTGCACACAATAATAATAATGTGAAACATAAAATTGTAAGTAGCGCACAAAATTTGGCGAAACCGCAGTTAGTGAAGTCGGTGGTGCAATCTAAAAATGATTTGAGTACTTATGTGGACTCGATGCTGAGTCAATTAGAAGCATTAGATAAAGAATTGCGTGGGTGATTTAGCAAGATGACCATAATTGGAACATATACATACATATACCATATACATATATGCTGCAATACTTATAGCTTTAAATAAAATTTTTGGAATTTGTTTTTGTATTTTGTAAATTTATAAAATGTTAATTATAAATTTATGCTATTTTTCTGCACACATTTATTGCAAATTTTCTACTCTATATTGTATTTATGATTTCTTTAAGCAATAATAAACAATTTCTACTATCATTAGCAGTTTTCATGTAAATGCTGACGTTTACGGTCATCAATAATCCATAAGCACAACCGATGTAGATAACATTCAATTTAAGCCTTTTGATTTTCGTTGGCCAGCCGGTGCCAAACATTTAACTACTACAGCATTCACATAACAATAGTAATATATATATTGCTTAGTATTTACTTAATTCGATATGCGCATGTTTTTAGTTAAATATTGTAAATATATAATCCTGTGTATACGCATGTACATGACTTCATACATGTCGGTAACCACTCGGTACAAGTGCTACAACACTATAAGGAAGTTATCATTTATTCGACAGCAGTCGTTTGGCTGGTGCGTGTGACTCTTTAGCGCTTAGAAATTACATATTTTTTAATTTTATATATCATTAGTACTTTAAATAATTTCCAACTGCGCGGCTTGTTGCAACAATGAAAATTTGGCTAAATTTTTGGATGCAAACAATTTGGTGTTTTTTCCTAATTGTGCTATTGGCGCATTCGTGTGAGTGATGAGCAAATTCATGTTTGTGTTGTGTTGTTGTGATGACCTAATTGCAAAAACAACTGAATATAATATATTTGCATATATTTAAGTATATGTATTTTGGTATTTTGAGGTGCGGAGTAACTAAAATATTCAATTACCTCTCTGTTATTCCTACAGCCTATGCCAGCAGTCTGAGCGTTCGTAGTAAAAATACGCACCCTTATGTGCTAACCGAATATGATTCGAAAACAATTGGTGGCTCACCTGTTGCCATCACAAGCGCCCCCTGGCAGGTTTCAGTGCGTTTGCTGTTATTCGAGATACAGTTAGGCCATGGACATATATGTGGTGGATCGGTCATAACATCGCGTGTGATTATTACCGCAGCGCATTGTCTGATCTAGTAAGTAGCGAAAATATAATTTATTTTTTTTATATACAATACATACATATATACATGTACATTTTTATATTTCTCCATTTCCCTCACAGTCCAAACACAACACAACCGATCTATCGTTTTCCAAGTGAATTTACTGTAGTCATGGGTTCGATTTATTTGGAGGAGGTTACGCCATATACCCTGCAGTACAATGTGCAGCAGCTGGTGCCGCATCCAGACTTTAGTTTAACGCCGCTGCAAAATGATTTGGGCTTACTTTTCTTAGACGGCAAAATACCGGCGAATCATCCCACAGTGGCACCCATAGCACTCAATCAGGTGGCCTTAAATCCAGGCGTTTATTGCAGCGTGACTGGTTGGAGCATAGCAGCGAAGGTAAAATAAGGCAGTTAAAAATATATACATACTTACATATTCATAATAAAAATAAAAATAATCTTTTAATAGGGCATAAATTGGCCAGTGCTATTGGGTGCTGTGGTTCCGATCATCTCCACGCAGCAATGCAACAATATTTACAATGGTCAAATATCAGCGGGTATGATTTGTGCTGGCAATCAAGCCAATAACGGCACGAATGCCTTTCAAGGCAGCTCTGGTGGTCCACTGGTTTGCAATGGTAAATTAAGTGGCATTGTTTCGTGGGACAGCGGTTATCCTGAGGTCTACACAAATCTCTCCGCTTACTATAACTGGATAACAATGATGAACTCCACTTTCAATTATGATGGCGCAATGAGTCTGTATTTGGGAGTTCAGCAAATGGCATTGTGCACTTGCTGTTTGTTAGTCACTTTGCTGTGGTCGCAGGCGGTATATATTAAATAAGGACTCAAAGGCGCCGTAGAAATCTATTTGTTGTTTTTTGATGCGTTGTTTAGAGTTTGCTAATGTTAATATATTATTTTGCGTTAACTTTTTAAGAAATGAAAGTGCGATATAAGTGTTTTCATAATAGTATAAATTTAAATGTTATAAATGTATATATATATATTTTTAATTAATAAAAACATACATGAGTCAAGTATATGACTCAGCAGCAGCAGAGATATTTTTGTGTGGTGTTTTATTTCGTTAGCTTCGGCTGCAACAAAGCTTTAAGACGCATTACATGTGCATTTGTTATAGTATAGTAGGGTATAAAATATCTCTGCTTTGATTTTGATCGGTCAATGTATGGCAGCTATATGATATAGTGGTCGGATCTGCACAATTTATTAGACAATTGTGGCATTGTCTTAGGTAATAATTTATGCCAAATTTCGTGAAGCTTATGAAATCAAATAGTTTTCCATACAAAGACTTGATTTTGATTGGCAAGTTTGTAAGACAGCTTTGTATATATTATAGATTTAGATCGGAATCTAAACAATATATTTGTAAATTGTGGCATTATCTTGAACAATAATTCGTGCCGAATTTCGTGAAGATATTTTGTAAAATAAAATGGTTTTCCACACAAGAACTTGATTTGGTCGATCAGTTTGTATGGCAGCTATATGCTTTGGTGCCACAGAATTTTTCGTTATTCAGTTCAACTAAAAAAATCATAAATTTTACTTAAATAATTACTTTTGCGTTGTTTTTCGATGGCGAAGCGATTCAGCAACAATTAGAAGATGAAAAGTGTATGAAAATCTGAAGTAATATAAGGTTCAGTTTTGTAATTTCCCCAACATTTTTAGGATTGAAACATAAGAAAACTTCAAAAAACTATAAAAATATGCATATTGGAATATTATATTGAATAAATTAATAGAACCCGTCTATTCAACCCACTCCATTGCCAAGAATAGGCATTCCATATAATGATACTTGCTCTATAACACATACACGGATCACTCTTTAAAACCATATATGTACTTTCTATAGTATTAATAATATATTCAAAAGACATGACCTCAGAAGTTTCGGCTCTTTTTCGCTGAAGAATTGTCATGGTCAATTGTCTACAAGAATTACAAATGGTACAGAATTTAGCTAGTTTATTTGAAAATAGGTTTAAATAGACAGCAGATCTAGAATATCTAAAAACTATAGTTTACCCGTTTAAAATTAAATTGTCTATAAAAATATTGTTCTGAGACAAAAAAAGAAAAAATAAAAAATATTTAATAAATAATTCTTTGCTAAAAATGCAATTCTAAACTTTTTCGTTTGATGTTTTGTAAAAAAATGTCATATAGAACTTTTTTGTGTAAGACAGCGGTAATTTGGTCTCCGACAACAGCTGATAATATCAATATTACTAGGTTAGGTTAGGTTACGTTAGGTCTCTATGTAATCAGCACTAATATTTTTTTATATGGTTATATTGAGTAAACAACACAATTTTTGTTGAAACTATCCACCGCTTGATATTATTTTTTCTTTACTATACTTTTTTATTTTTTTTTGTATCATTTTTCTATTTTCAAAAGAGTTAATGATCCTGAAGGGGAAAGTGTGAGTATGTTAGTTTATAATATATCACTTAAGAAATTCTATAAATCATTTTGTAGGAACAATAGTCGGACTTTGTCATGTTCGGACAGTACTAATTGGTCTCACATGCGGTACATGTCAAAAAGCTGTCTTTATAATGAGCAATTTGAAGTTAGTGGTGTTTTATGTTAAGTACCCGCTAAGTATCGGGTATGATGTACATGAGTTTTGCTGTGTATAAGGGTTTGTTGTTGTTGTTTTATGACGTGGTACTTGTGAAAGAAGAAAGGCGCGTGCCATTTGCGCAGGCATTAATACTTGCAAATTTATATGATAATATATATATGAAATAAATAAGATGACATCAAATGTTGCTCATACGTCATGGTGTACTCACATACAAGCTAATAAGTATAGAATTATTGCGATTAAAAGAGATATATTTGCATTATGGTATAGTATAGTAAACAAAATGTGAAAAAAAACTTTACAAATAAAAAACAAAAACTTGAATATAGGCAAGAAATGAGATTTTAAGATTGTATGGTTACAAAAATAATAATTACCATAAATAGGTATATTAAATTATTAAATTAAAATTTTTGTATTTATTTGACGATCATTTATTTAATAAATAGTAAAAGCTGATTTAACTTTTTTTTGTGTTTGGGTTATGCCTAAATCCCATGCAATACTACATTACTGTAGCAAAACTAAACGAGTGTGTACTGTATGAGGCGTAATCTTTCAACTTTCACCGAAACGTATGCAAATGTTCACGGTAAATGGAGCAAAAAGGGCTTTGTCGTTTCACAATATAAATATATTTTGGCCAAGTATTATTAGCAACGCTAACCTCTGAGCCGGAACCAAACAGCTGCCGGTCCATATCGAAATTCGACGCACTAAATGGAAATGAATCGATCATACTTAGTAAAAATGCGGACATTACCAGAATAGCGCTAGACTAGAATCCTCAAGGAAGCCGAAGACGCGGGAGACCAGCCAACACTTGGAGGCGGGAAGTTGAAGCAGAAGCGCAGAAAAGCCGGCATTCGTGGGGAGAACTTAAATTTCTATATATATCGATAAATAAATCTAATTTAGTTAATTTTTTGCAGCCCTATGTTCCATCTAGGCACTTTGGGAATTTTATATATATTAATCACTTTAATCATAATAATAAGCAATTTGTCGCATACAAGTTGAATGAAATATATGATAAATTTATGTTAATATTATATATATACATATAGTATATTTATTGAACGTACACACACCCACAGGCAGTATTGTTGATAACAAAATTAATTGGGATTTTTCGATCACAAGCGTTGCAAATACTTTCTGCTATAGAATTTTATCGCGTGAGACATGCATTGAAGAGGGTGGTTCGATAAATATATAGTCTACGAAAAGACAAAAAAAAAATATTGGAAAAATGGCATTCTCAACATAGTCTGCTTTTAGTTAAATACATTGTAACTAGCGATAGCCCACCTTCTTTAACTTATCTGATAAATACGTTTTATGGAGGTCTGGAAAGTAAGCCTCTGTGGCGCAATAATCTCCTTATTCGCCGCTAATTTCTATTCGGTTAATGACTTTTTCAAGGTTAGACGCCTAGCCTAATTCAACCAATTTGGTTGTAGCGATGACGGAGTTTAAGCCAAGCACTTTTTTCTTCGCTAAATATCATCGTTTTCTCGTCGACAACTCAGCCCAAAAATTTCGCTTAGTAGAGCTCGTATGTGGTTTGTCCTTCTCCAGGTAAATGATGCAGACCGCATTCTTTGTATACTGCAAAACGGTGGCCATCATCTTTCCGGTCGATAGTGTAGCCTGCACCGTTTCCGGAGCAGGTTGCTCTGGCAAAGTCTACTGTTTCGACTATTCTTTGGTCTTTTGTGTGTAACAGTCCATCCATGCTTCTTCGGCGGTCACAAAATGACGACGAAACTTCTTTGGATTGTGTTTAAACACCGGTCTAATGATTAAACTTGTTACCGAAGTAAGTACGTGAGCAGAATCCATCGTGCTGACAACTTACTTCCACTATTTCATGCGGCATTGTCTATTGAATCACATGGTCTAGTGAAATGACTACTGTCTCATCTATCTCGCACAGTTCTAATCGGTAGTCTGCCAATACGTGTGCGTGGACTTCAGTCAAGTTGTCCAAAAACTGAAGTACGACTACTTTGAAACTCGTTAAGCCAATTTTTGATTAAAATAAAAATAATAAACGAATCACCGACCGATATTGCTCTTGCACGCCCGCTTCTGCAAGACCACTTCTGTAAATATTAATGGGAAGAACAACAGGTTGGTCAATGAATTGATTTGAATTTTTATCTAATCAATAACTAAATTTAATATTTTTTATCACTGCCTCATTATAGTCAAGGGTCTGAGAGATTTGATAAAATTGGAAACAAGTGTTTACTTTGCATGTGTACATAAGTGGATGTGGGTATGTAAGAGTAGGCACTTTCATTACATTAGATATACTCCCAGCAGCGCTATAAAGTCAACAGTAGTAGTTGAGTATTCGTGGAATTGACGCATAACTAGTTTACTTAGTCCACGTACGACGAATTTATAGTTCTAATAAAGATAGAATTGGTCGTAAATCAGCAAATCAGTGCAAAACATGTATTATCAAGGGTTTTTCTGGTTCTTAACTTACGCCTACCTACAAATGGCGCAGAGCACAAGTATGTTGTTGTTGACGAAAACAATTTCACTTAAAAAACTACAAAAATAAATGTTACACTTCTTTCCACCTAATCTTAGCGTTGGCGCACTTGAAAACACCACTCAAAAGCCAACACAGCAATGAGCCGAAGATAATCAACGGCACCGAGGCGCAGTGGGACGGTACCAGTTATCAGATTTCGCTGCGTTTGACGGCGGGCGAATGGCTTTTCGGCGCAGGCCACATCTGCGGCGGTGCGCTGATCTCACCAAGCGCCGTACTCACCGCAGCACATTGCATATGGATGTGAGTGCAAAAATGATGAAGCGGCTGCAAGCTGCAGCGAGCCACAGAAAATGTTGAATGCTTGATATGCTTAATAATTTTCAGCGCCGGCTCCAATCGTTTTCGCAATGCCAGCGATTTTTCGGTGGTCATGGGAAATTTGAATCGTTATCAGCGTGATAACAATACTTTGGTGTTTGGTGTGTCGAAGATCTCGGTGCATCGCGACTATAACGCGACCAGCTATAGGAATGACGTGGCCGTGCTGCATTTGGCTGTGCGTGTGCCGATGAATTTCACACGCGCTCGTGCAATAACTTTAAATCGCGACATAAATTTAAATGCCAGCAACACCGTATGCCAAGTGTCCGGCTGGGGACGCACCGAAAATGTTTGTTTTTAAATGTATATTAGATATTTTGTTATAATTGTAATGTAATTATGTAATTCTTTAACGCTACAGGGCGGTTACGCACCACAGCTGATGGTGGTCGATGTGGCCATTGTGAACCGTACGCAATGCGCTACCAATTATGGTGAATTGGTGCGCGATGGCATGATTTGTGCCGGCTATATGGAGGGTGGTCGTGATGCTTGCGTTGGTGACTCCGGCGGTCCGTTGGTGTGTGGCGATCAGCTGGCGGGCGTGGTGTCGTTTGGTGTGGGCTGCGCGCAGCCGGGCTTTCCGGGCGTTTACACGGACGTGGCCAGCTATGTGCCGTGGATAAACAATGCGACGAAGGCTTTTGAAGATGCTGCCGGCTTCAGCGATGATGGATTGGGCAATAGCGGTGTTGTGGCCGAAGGCGACGTTATTGATGATAATGTCTCTAATAATGGTACAGTTAGCAATAATGGCGTCGGCATGATAAGTTGTGCGCCCGCGCTGATTTTTGTCTTCTGCACGCTACACATGCGGGTCTGATAAGCGTTTTTGTTGGGAAATGAGTAACGAATTTATGTTTTATCAATTTTGAGTGTGGGTGTGTGTTTGGGCAAACGTGTACGCACATGTATGTATGTATATATTGTTTTTGCAATTGATATGCCATTGTTTATTCTTCTATAAATTTGTACAATTTGATTTCTTTTTCAAATTGCCAAGATAATAAAGTCAACGTCAGAGCGTAAAATATCACAGACACAAACCGACATGCCATACACACACGCACTTATATGTATATAAATATATCTAAATATAATAGATATCACAGTTATTTTGACGAGCCTTATACCATATCAAGTTAAGAGCTAGTCCATAGAAATATATATTTATGCTTTCGCATATATTGCAGATGATCACAATAGTTTTGCTCACTTAACGGTTTTTAACTTCTTCAAGAAATCTAGGTAAGCATAGGGTTCATGTGCCCGGCCTTGAATAAAATTGAGATATCTTGATGAAATTTAATGCCTAGTTAAATAATAATTTTGTATTGGTTGTTGCATTGTTAGTTTAGTATAAAATAGTTAAGTGGTTGCCACCTATATGAAAGGTTTGAGTAAGAAATAATAAATTTAAAAAAAACATGTTTAGTTATTACAAATTAAAGTGGTTTAATAAAACTTGCCATTGAAAATATATTTTTGGCGAGGGGTTGCCACTTGTTTAAAAATATATTCAAAAATTTTAGTATATAAATTAGTTTTTATAATAAGACTTTTAAGTTGGCTGATGGCTTAGTATTGGCACCTTTATTAAGAAGCGTTGCCATCTGTTTAACTTTTTTATTCAAATAAATTGGTAATATAAATGAAATGTTGCAGTAAAGCTTAAAACACATTTCTGTCGAATAAATTTTTAAAGAGGGTTGCCACCTGTTGAAGAACTTAATTCAAACAAATTTGTCAAGAATGTTTGGATTAACATTTCCGCATGCTTACTTAAATATTACATATTGTGACTGATAATTAATATTTATGTATTTGCAGGGGTTCCCAAGTTCACTGTTGCATGAAAAACAACGGAAATTGTTTTTTCTTTATTTTCAAAGACTATTACAGCCAAAAGTTTTGAATAAAAAATATGAAAAGTGGTTTCACAATTTCGCCTTGCTTGGTTTTTATAATTTTACCAGTATCTCCCAAACTTTAGGAAGTTACCGTGTGTAAAAGTTTTTGCTAAAAAAATAAAACAAATACCTACAATTAAACCCAAAGAAGTGAATAAGGAAAATAAATCAAGCTAAAAGAAGCATGGATTATATATGTATTCTGTATTACTGAATCCCTTCCGCGAAAGAAATTATTTCTGTTCAAAAAATCAACATAATTTAAAACGATTTCTCTTGAGTCTTCTATCTATATATATAATATATAGCTCTCCTGTCTTAGATAGTTTCTCTTACAATAACAACTTTACAAAGTACCATATGAAATTAGTAGCTATAAATACTTAACCGTTTGTTAAATATCAATGTCTTAGATAATACTAGGTAATCGTAAATAATATTATTATAACTTAATTATATTAAAAAATAAGCATCGGTGATAAAAGTTTCTTTTTAAGCACATTTGAAGTGAAATTAATTTATTCTGCTATCAAGTACTTCAGATATTATAAGTTATTTCTAAATATTAATTAGCATGGTCGTATCCATAGCAAATGTCAAGGGGAGTTTGTCTAGTCTCTCCATAGTAATGCCTATATCGGAACAACATATTTATATATTCGCATGAAATTTGATCTCCTTATACAATTATATCTTGTATAATGTTTTTTTTTACCATGGAAAAAAATTGAATAACGAGTTTGCTCATAATTTTATTTTTGCCTATGGAATCACTGCTACGGAATCGTTGAAAATATTGCAGAAGTGTTTTGGGGAGTCTACTTTATCACGAGCATAAGTATTTGAGTGGCACAAAGCATACAGTGAAGGTTGCGAAGTCATCGAAAATTTGTCTCATGCGAGTTGTCCATCCACATCTGCTAATGAAGATGACATCGAAAACGTTCCAGAAGCAGTGCTTAAAAAACGTCGCTTCGACACCAGAAAGCTAGCAGAGAGTCTCACATCTCCTATGCATCGACTCAACACATTTAAGTTAATGTTTTGGGTATGAAGCGTGTTATTGCAACGAGTCTAGTAAGATCTGAAAAAACTTGAATCTTTTGCAAGAATGACAACGGGTAGAGGCCGCAAACAGTTGCTTGACAACGTTGCTGGGGACCCTACATTTATGAAACGCAACATAACCGGTGTCGAGGCGTGGGCCTATGAATATGACGTCGAAACTGTACAACAATCTAGCGAACTGCGCTCCATAAATGAGCGGAAACCGTAAGAACCAAAATCCGTTGAAGGCACTGAAAGATATCCAGAGCCAGCCGGGCCATATTACAAGTGTATGACAAAGTCATTTTGTGTTGACTAGGAGCCTATTTTAAGGGCGATAATAGAGATTTGTTACAAAATACTGAAAATGTTGTTTTTTTGTTGCCAGTCCGGGTCAAATTTCATCAGACGTTATATCATTCAACAGCGAAATAATTATTGGGGGTCTAGCACCCGACTCAAACCCTTAAGATCTTTACAATACTTTGTATATGAACGAATTAACAGCGAAGGCATGGAGATACAGGAAATATTGATATACATATGTACATACGTACATATCTGTAAAAAACAAATGGTATCGTTCCAAAACTGTACTGTTATGATTAGATTAAACTACAAATATATATATGCATATATAAGCGTAAACGTGTTTAGTTATAAAATCGCCTGGAATTTCCCTAAAAACAAACAAATATCCACGCACAAAAGAATTCCATGACATTTCATTTCACACTTTCGTGGAGGACAGAGCATACTTGACGGGCAGAGGACTTTTCGCTTAAGCGTCTGCAATATTAATACATTTCCATTTAAATTTGGAAATATTTATTTATTTCTGAGGTGTGACATTTTAGTAGTGCTCGAAGAAAGTAAAGAAAGTGTTCGAATATGTTGAGATATATAATAATTTCGCTCGCGTTTTGTGGTGTTCTACAAATACAATCAACGGGTTAGTTACTTCGACAAAATAAAATAAAATGATAAATCTTAAAAACAATAAAAAATAATAAATCTCTAAAATAAAAAAAAAATCTTTAAAATAAAAACATAAATCTAAAAAAAAACAATAAAAATTTGAAAAAATAAATAAATATTGAAAATTTTCAGCGGCAAGCTCTTCGAGCGGTAGCAATGTGAGTTTCGATCTAGATGGAAGAATTATCAATGGCACCGTGGCGAGTTTTAATGAAACTAAACATCAAGTCTCAATACGTCGTCGTCTCAATGATGGCTACTTCTTTGGCACCGGTCATCTATGCGGTGGTTCGTTGATTAGTTCGAATGTGGTGCTTTCAGCGGCGCATTGCTTCGTGAAGTGAGTGTTTAAGTCGGTGCTTTAAAAAATATTTGTAATAACGGTACATCGATTATTTAACTAGTTATGATATAAATAACGGTACATTCCGTTCGCCTGAGGACTACATTGTGGTGATGGGAAATCTGGATCGTTATGAGCGCAACAACTTCACACTTGTATTCGATATCAAGAATATCGTCTTTAACGTGAGCACTTTCAATCTCAGCAGCTATGAGTCGGACGTCGCTTTGGCATTTCTGAACGATTCTGTGCCAGCGAATTACACCAGAGCTCAACCAATTCAACTCAATACCGAAGAAGTGCCTGATGAAACCGTTTGCCAGGTAACTGGTTGGGGTCAAACTGAAGAGGTGAGTTGCTTTTAGTCAGACATTATTTCTGATAAGTTCTATATTTCACCGTTAACCCGCAGGGCTATTTGTCGGATGTTTTGCTGACTGTTGACGTGCCCATCATTAACGACACCGCTTGTGCAAATGACATGAATTTTAGGCCCGGCCTCATCGGTCTGGGCATGCTGTGTGCGGGCTATCCGGAGGGTGAGCGTGACGCTTGTGCTGGTGATTCCGGTGGTCCACTTGTGTGCAACAATAAATTGACGGGCATAGTATCGTGGGGCATTGGTTGTGCAGAACCCGCTTATCCAGGAGTTTACACAAATGTTTCCTATTGGTCGAAGTGGATCGATGAGCAAATTCGTGGTAATAGTAGTAGTACTAACAAAGCGAGCGGCAGTCATGTATCCGGCCTTATCGCTTTTCTGACAGTATTTGTTACTTTGGCGCTGAATAGATAATTGCTGATAATTTCAGTTTCAATCAAGTTCGCAATAAATTAGTTTCGTAAATATCAAAACACAATTAAAATGTCAATTAAATACTTAAGTAAATATAACTCGCATAATAAATTAGGATTCCGTTGTTGTTATTACATTGTATTTGTAATTTTGTAATTTGATTTCAATTTATAGTTTGAATTTATATATCTTCACAATGAAAATTTGAGAGACCAACAGTTGGAGTTCGGATGTATTAAAAATGGTCAGAAATGCGGAGTACCACGGAGTATCTGATCGAATTTTATCCGGACTGTTTTTCCATTTTTTAACTTTGCTTGAAAATTTGGAATGGTTTCATTGCCACGAAGTCGTTTAAAATATTGCAGAAGTGTTTTGGGAAGTCTACTTTATTACGAACACAAGTACTTGACTGTCAGAAAGCATAGTCAGGTGGTCAAGTCATCGAAAACTTGCTTCATGCGAGTCGCCTTTCTAACTCTGTTAATGACGATAACATCGAAGAAGTTAAAGAAACAGTCTTTGAAAATAGTTGTGTTGGCTTCACATAGATAGCAGAGGATCTCAACATTTCTTATGGATCTACTCAACACATTTTGGGTATGAAGCGTGTCAATGCTGGAGTCGTACTAAAAGACCTGAATCTTTTACAAAATCGAAGTTGAGTAAGGTTCGCAAAAGAGATGCTTGACAGCGTAGCTGAGAACCCTAAATTCACCAAATGCAACATTACTGTTGACGAGTTGCGGGATTGTGAATATGACGACGAAAATGTCCAACAACCTAGCGAATGACGTTTCACAAATTAGCTAAAACCGAAATTCGTTAAAGGCAGTGAAGTCCATCCCAGCCGAGGCTTATAATAAATGTGTAGAAAATCAAATGAAGCGTTTTTATGCTTTTATTGGTCCGAAATGGGCGAAAATAAAGATTTGTACTAAAATACGTGAAAAATTGTTTGCCATCAGTTCGGGTCAAATTAGATCAGACGGTGTATCGGCTAAAGAATATAACCATAGAAACAAACATTTTTGGAGAAAATTTGACTCCTTTATTCAGTAGAAAGCCACCTGCAGTTGTTAAGAAATACGATCAACGCTTGGTTTGGCTCCAGGAAGTGAGCTCTGACGAACCATAGAAAAACTATCTCGTCGAAGTTGAGTTATTTCCCATTTATGCTTATGGAAGATAAAATTCAAGTACTTTAAAACTAATGGCATGGATTAACCCTTTGGCTCACCCATATAGCCTCTACTATATCGCTGGTTATCCCAATATTTAGTTATGGCAGCTTCATTGATTCCTTTAGCTGTTAAAGCTACAGGATAACCATTCACGATCTAATTCCTCCTTACTCGAACAAGTATTTAGTTTACAAAATCAAAAAACTCCAGCGCGGTAAAACAAAAAATCAGTTTGGCTTTTAAACAATATGTCTAAATGTTGTGTCTATAAATAAAAATAAAACAATATGATTTATAAGCTGACGAAGTATAAACGGTCTAATCATGCCATATAAGCTATATAGCCATTATAATCAACTGACGACAGCAGGTAAGACCAACGCAGTCGGTAAAATCCAAAGCTATGGGTTAAATTTGGTTTAACACTGTAGCGCAATAAAGTTCGTTAGGAGAACCTGTGATATTTATTAATGTCCAATCCAAGAGCGACTTCAACGAATCTCTGAAATATAACATTTTCAGACCTTGAAGGATTAAGATTTGTGATAGATGATGTTTTGTGTAGATGATTCATTGTTAGAACTCAAGGCCTAGTAATAATGCAAGGAATTTTAAAGAGACTAGAGTTCCAATTTAGAGTTTTGTAAAGAGTTTTAGTCAGGACCTCAGAGATTAATGAAAGTAGGGTAGGTTTTTTGTCTTAAAGGAATTATATCAACCTTTAATATTATGGTTTTTTAATATGTTAAGGTTTCCATCCAATCTATTTGCGTATTCCTTCTATACGCGAAAGTACTACCGAATTTTCGCACGACACTATTATCTGCAATAACTGAATAATGTAATCTCATTGGTAAGTAGTGTAGGGAAGTGAGAAAGTGCTTGTATGACGTGACGTATGACGTGGTACAAGGCGGTACGAGAAAACCCGAACAATTTTAGTCAAATACGAACCCCCTTGACTTGGGACTATGCACACTATTTATGAACTTAATACATACAAGTTGTAATATCGGTTATAGTCTGTTTTGATTTGAGCGGAAATCGCTTGCGATTATATTAAAATAATACAAAATTGGAGTTTCCTAAAAGAAGTTACTTGCCTTCAGCAAACTAAAACCTGCGAACATTTCGTTTTTTACCTTGCTTGAGGAAGCAACAAGGCTAAACGCATTTCGCATATTCGTAGATAATATTGACCGATGTTGATTTATAATTGGAAATTTTACTATTTCATTTCACAAGCGCTAGTACTTAAAAAGAAATTTATTTCAATATGTTAAGAACTATAATATTTTCACTGACGCTATGTGCTATTCTAAAATTAATGATGAGATCTTTAAGTGATACAAATAAAAAGATATATACTGAGACATCTTTTGTCCGCAGATGCCGCACCGAGCGGTAGCCAATTGAGTTTCGAACTAGATGGACGCTTTATCAATGGCACGGCAATGAGTTTCAATCCGACATGTAACTCATGACACGGTTTGTCAGGTCATCGATTGGGGTCTAACTGAAAAAGTGAGTTAATTAGCTTATCACATTGACCTTTCTACAATTTATTCTTTAATTATTGTATGCTTATTTTTCAGGGTTACTTTGAACTACGAATCTACATACAGTACTAGAGGTTTGAAAAAAGTTTGTTGAAATTCAAAAACATTTTTTTTATCATAGGCATGATTTTATCGATGACTTAGTCATATGTCATATATATATCTATGAATGTATATTTAATGGTATTATGTTATGGGAATCACACAAGGCTTTCTAATATTCTCTATACCTCTTAGTAAATTCATAGTATGAGTAAAGTACAATTAAATTACAAGAGGATCAATTCGAGATAAGATGGTGCAATTAGTATTTCAAGTTTTAATATATGAATTTCAATATAGGTATACATACAAACACGAAAAATATATAACGGGTGATCCAAGTAAAAGTACTTTTTTCAATAACCTTTTTCTAACAGATCACGCGTGAGTCGTGTCAAGCTATCATGTTATTTTCCTTCAGTATTGTTTGACCTTTCATCATGGAAAGACTACCGCCTGAACAACATTTACAAATCGTTCAACTTTATTACGAAATATTACGCTTCGCCTAGTTTATGGGCAACACAATCGGCCTACTGAGCATACTATTCGCAACACCATCACCCATCTTGAGATCCACCATTCATTATTGGATAACACTCGACCGAAAAGATCACGCCCAGCACGCAGTGAAGTAAATATAGCGGCCGTAGCTAAAAGTGTACACGACGACCGTGGAGAGTCGATTTGACGACGTTCGCAGCAGCTCGAGATCTTAAATTGAAAGCATACAAAATACAGCTTGTGCAAAAACTAAAGCCGCTCGACCGTCCCAACCAACATCGCTTCGCGCTATGAGCTCTTGACAAGTTCCAAGAAGATCTAACGTTTTCGAGCCAAATTTTTTTCAGCGATGAGGCCAATGTAAAGAGCCTGAAACGTGAAAAGATTCAAGAGCTGCCATTTCATACAGAAAAAATAACGGTTTGGTGTGGTTTCTGGGTCGGTGGAATCAGCGGTCCATATTTCTTCAAAAATAATGTCGGTAGGAACATAACCGTCATTGGCGACAATGATAACCGACTATTTGAGGCCTGAAATTAAAGCTCGTGATCTCGGCGACATTTGCTTTCAACAAGACGGCGCCACTTTCCATACATCGTATCAATCAATGGATTTCTTGAGAGAACACTTCGGTAAGCAGATAATTTCACGTTTTGGGCCAGTTGGTTGGCCACCACGATCGTACGATATCACACCGTTAGACTTTTTCCTGTGGGGATACCTAAAGTTTAAAGTCTATGCGGACAATCCGGCTTCGATTCAGGCCTTGGAGCAAAACATCATGCGTGTCATTCGCCAGTTCCCAGTCGAAATGCACGACGAGTCATCGAAAATTGGACTAAACTGATGGACTATCTGAGACGTAGCCGCAGCCAACATTTGAAAGAGATAATCTTTAAAAAATAAATGCCAAAGAATGTTCTTTCGTATGATAATAAATCCCTTATTAAATTTGAATTTTCAGCGTTTTTTTCTTTAAAAAAGTAGAAAACCTTGAAATGGATCACCCTTTATATATAAGTACATATATCAGATGTGAATTTATACAAACTAGTTGAAGGCGCTGATATCTCAAAAAGTTACTTCGATTAGATTAGATAATCGGCTGTAAAGGTTATGTCTTTTGTTTTAATAAAATTTTTCTCATTAAATTGATTTTCACTCATTTGTAGGCCGTCGTAGAGAGCAGACCAAAGTATTATTGATTACAAGGACACAACAGTAGATTTCGATTTTTTTGACAAACACTTTAAGCAAGCTTTGGCAAGATGACGGCGCGATTAGAAATACTTTTGTTGGCAGTCTTCTGCACCTTATTCCAGATATCACAGAGCGCAAGTGAGTAAAGAATATCACTTCTGCATTGGAATTGCATTATTTGAGTTATTGCCACATTACAGCTTTTGCAGCAGGCGCAAATACCGGTTCCATTGGTCAGGGCGGACGCATCATCAATGGCACTTTGGCTAATGTAAATGCGACCAAACACCAGGTGTCAATCAGGAGGCGTTCAAACGATCGAATCTTCTTTGGTAACGGACACATTTGTGGCGGCTCGTTAATAGAACCGAATGTGGTGCTCTCCGCAGCGCATTGCTTTGTCAAGTGAGTGATTTTTGAGCGTTTAATAATTGCTTTTAAATTTCTCAAGTTTATAATAATTTCTGTATTACTTTTTCTTGCAGTCAGGAGATCAGTACTGGCGTTTATCGTCCTGCTTCTCAATACGTTGTGGTTATGGGTACGCTAAACCGTTATGACCACACCGAATACACGCTGCAGTTCGATATCGATCAGATAGTTTATGGCATAAATCCATTTAATTTGT